CGAAGCTTCTCGAAGGCAACAAAATTGTCGTAACTCATTCTCCTCTGACCCTCTAGTTCAAGTTGAAACTTTTAAGAAAGCGGCTAGCGATTATAAGTTTATGTTATTAATAAATATCGACTCTTTTGATATCTCTCCTTTTCGAAAGATTTTTACCCCTTAATTTGTTCGTAAACTCTCCATATTGAGGTGGGCGATATTCTTCTAGCCGGCAATTTAAAAGGAAATAATTGATTGTGATTGTCTTGGGGTGCGCATGAATACCATTATGTGCCCGGGAACTATTTCTGAACAGAAATGATTTTTTTTTATTCTGTGCCCGGAAACAATTTCTGAGTATTTGAAGGTGTTTGATAAACTGTCCAAAATTTCTATTCCTAGAGTAGAAAAGAACTGAAATGCGTTTGGTAACTACACAAAATTTCTGTTCCCAAATAATATTTTGAATTGTTTAATTTTTTTTTTTCTTTTTACCCATTTTCTTCTTTGGCCATGGCCGGTCGCGGCGACCGGCCATAGCCCAGGCGCCGCCGCCGGCCGACGGCCAAGGCCGGTGAGGGCGTCACGACCCTCGCCGGCCGTCGGAGGAGGCGAGGGTCGGCGAGGGCGAGGGCGGACCCTCGCCAAAGACGGCGAGGTTCGGCCTCGCCTAGATCCGGCGAGGTCGAGCCTCGCCGTCGCGACCCAAGGCGAAGTCGACCTCGCCGTGGGTCGCGACGGCGAGGCTCGGCCTCGCCGGATCTAGGCGAGGCCGAACCTCGCCATCTCCGGGCGAGGCCGAGCCTCGCAGATCTCTGCGGGCGAGGCCGACCTCGCCGTCGCGGACCAGACGGCGAGGCTCGGCCTCGCCCAGCGGCGAGGGTCCGCCCTCGCCCTCGCCGGCCCTGGGCTGTGGCCGGTCGCCGGCCGCCGGCCCAGCCCAGGGAAGAACAACACAAAAATAAGAAAAGAAAAAGAAGAAAAAAAACTGATTCTCAAAATTGTGCCGAGAAACAAGAAGCAACTTTTTTTTACTTCTTGTTTCTCTTTCAAAACTGTTTCTCGACACAAATTTTTGCAAAAATGTGCCCAGGAACAAAAAGTTTACCAAACGCATTTCTGTTCCCAAACTATTTCTGGAAATAAAAGAACAAAAATTTTCACTGTTTGGCACGTTACCAAACGAGCCATTGATTTCCAATCCTTCATGAAATTCCTTCTGGTCTAAGGTATCAATTTCGACTTTTGCAACACACGAATGGACAAGACCTTTAACGATGGGACCGGAAAAAAGGTTCTTCGGTCCGAAAGGAAAAGGCACTTCGTACGAGAAAGATAGGTCCCGGTCTTCGTTTTCCTCTTGCGTTAAATTTGGAGGAGAAGAATGTCCATTGTCGATTAGATCTATCATGTTTGAATCATTCAGAAGTAGCTCGATTGTGTTAATTTTATGCTTGATTTCATAATTTGTTCCACATGCTATGAACAAAGAAACCAAAGGACTAAAACATAGCCTTAATATCTCCTAAATTAAGGATGATCGGTTCTCGGATTGGGCAGGTTCCACCCTAAAATCGATAATCGGACCGAACTGTTCGATTCCGGTCCCAGTCCTAGATTAATCCGGTTTAGGGTTTTGGAAATTTCCTTTTCTATATTTTTTAAAAGAAAAGGGCAATGTTAAAAAAAAAAAAAACGTATCGTTTCGGTTCGGTCTATCCAAGCAGTTCGATTCTGCACCTGGAACCGAGAATCGGACCGGTCCCTGTACACACCCCTATCCTAAATAGGTTTTTTAGGCATTAATAACAAACCAAAATGCCTCGACTTTTATTACTTCTCCCACTTTCCTATGTATTAAACCGTGCTGGACAAGACCGAATAACATGCGTTGAATGACTAGGACTTAGGGGTAAGCATAGGATACAGAAAATCTTATGTTGTGCTGTAACTTATAAGTTATAACCCTTTTGTTTCGATTTTTCAAAGCGACATGTTGCTTGTTGACTTTCTCGCCAAAATACAGAATAATTACTTTAATTTAAAACAACTGTGAAGTCCATCATGGGTCTAGATTCATGAACATTGAAGGTGGTCTTTGATTCTGGGCCCAATCTGGCCTGCTTCTTTCTGTTGCTAAGCCCGACCATCTCACTAGCTGGACAATCTGTCCACAGGGCTTGCGATCATGTACACTTGTGTCTCACGATTCATAAATTCATTACAAATAAAACGGAAAAAGGGCACCGCTATTGCCATCGTACGGCGCTGACTTGAGTACTGTAACATTTTTTTTTCTTTCCAATCGCTTGAGTGCCATAACTTATTTACGGCACTTAATCAAGAGCTGTAACTTTTTCTTTTTTCTGATTACTCACAAGTACCATGCAAAATCGGATTTTCGGCACTTGGGTTAATATTTTTAAAAAGTTATGGCACTCATGTGATCAATTGAAAGTTATGATACTCAAAATGAATCTTTTTTTTTTGTTGGAAATAATTGGTATTCACGTGGTTGAAAAAAAAGTTTGTGGCACTCAAATAAGCGCTATACGAAAGTTATAACATTTGTTACGTTCTTATTCTCAAATAGAACAAAAAAACGTCGCTCTATGAATTAGAATCAAGACTAATCTTATTGTATAGCTTTGAAAGGGACAAAAATATGGATTTAACTTTATTGGGATATTTTTTACATTGAAATTTCATTAGCCATCACTTTTAGTCGTTCGACAAATAGAAGGGAAATGAAAGGGCACAAGACAAGGTAATTTCATCATAGAGAAGGCGAAACACCCACAGGGGCCTCCGCGGCCTATTCGTTTGATATACAGCGATAACGGACTTCACGAATACGTTCCTTATTTTAACGTGTCTGTGTCTGCATTTCCCTAGAAAGAGGGAATGTCTTTTACGTGCTTTACATCTTGAGGATCCCGAGATTCATATGAGATCCAAGATTAAGCCTTTTAAGGACATGATTAGATCTAATTAGCCATCACTTTTAGTCGTTCGACAAATAGACGGAAACGAAAGGGCACGAGAATTAATTACAGAAGAAAGGATCCGAAGCATTGATGTTCTCAAATTCCTCCGAATCATCACCCATACATAGAGGAACAAGACAAGTTAGGAAACATGTGAAAACATTGAATCATTGTCTTGCTATAGCATGGAAATGTTTCCGAAGGAAAGGTCCTTTTTCTTTAAAGGAAAAATAAATTTCACGGATCGACTTGCCGAGTAATGGTAACATCCTTCGTCTCCTAGGCAAGAGACCTCGATTCTAATCCCGATGGTGCTCCGTAGTCGCTCGATCGGCATCCTCCCTCGAGTCGGGCGAGAGGAGCTGAAGCCCGATAGCCGACACGACACCGTCCAAAGATTATCTCCAATATCTCACAAGAATTGAACCCGACCCGACCCATGTTTTCCTCATTTCCCCCAACACGAATAACTTGGGCAAAGTACACTGTCATCACCACAAAAGGAAAGAATGACACCTTTTGCAAGTCCTTTCACAACCCCCAACAAATTCAGCAACGTAACCATCGTACTTGTTCCAAATCTCGTCCAATTAACCTGGGGGACACACATACGAAATGGACATTTGCCTTAAGTGCCTCGACATAGAATAAAGTAACCACATACATGCAATCGCACGTCAACGACTCTTTCTCGGGTCCCTCCTCAAAAGTATCTAATTAGGTTCCGTTTGTTTGATGGGAAATTGTTTTCAAGAAATTATCTTTTGACTTTTCGGTGTCTGGACGATGAAAAATTTATCAATTTATAAAAAATGATTTCTATGGACCGAAAACAGTAAGTTTAAATCTGGAGAAAACGACTTTCCTTTGCACATTTAGTAAAAGTGAGATCACTTTCTCTAAACTACCAAATAAATCAAAACCAACCATTTATTGAAAATGATTTTCTATATTATGAAGTTTTTGGTAAAACAAAGGTGCCCTCAATCTCCCTATTAATCCAAAATTCCTAAATTATGCTCATTGAGGCACATTTACCCCAAATTATACCCAAATTTTTCTGACATAAAAAACCCCAAATGACACATTTACCCCGAACTCTTTCTTGTGACATAAAAACTCAAAACTTGTACTTATGTGACACATTTACCCTCCGTTAAGATCCCGTCAGATGATTTTTCAGCCAAAAAAATGTCGTTTTTATTTTATTTAAGCCACGTGGGTGTCATGTCAATAATGTCCATGTTAACAGATTTTTTAACGGTATTCATTGACGGACCTTGATGGAGAGTAAATGAACACGTGTACAAGTTTAAAAATTCTGGTGTCACGGAAATTTTTTTTATCATAAATGTGTCGCAGTCGGCATCATTTGGGATTATCGGTGCCTTTCGCCCTAATTTCGTGTGGTCCCGCGGTCAGACCGCCCGGTCCGAAACCCGAGCGGAGAGGGAACCAAGCACCGGTCCGGACTCGGCCCCGGCCCCGGTCCGGCTCCCACCCCAACCCCCACTATATAAGCCGAGAAATTGGGTCCTCGTTATTTTCTTTCGGGCGACCCATTCTTATCTTCTCGCGATTTCTGCAAATTCTTCACAGTTCCTTTCTTCGCTAGCAAGAAGGACAAAAAAAAAAATCCCGACCCGGATCGGCCGGCGATTATCCCGATTCGCGACCCGACGGAGCTTCCCCGAGCCTCTCCGGCGACAGCAGGGCTTCGTGTCCGTGCCGCGCCTCGCATTCCCGGAATGGGCTGCCGTCCTGTAAGTCTTCGAATCCCCAATTCGTTCGATTGAGAAAGCGGGGGGGCCGAGGAGGAAGGAGGAGGAGGCGAAACGCGCTCGTGTCCTTTGCTGTTTGCAGCTCCGTTTGGACGACGCGGGGTGTTGTGCGGAACCCTGGAGGGATCCGTTCTCGAGTTCAGTGATATCGGTGGGGACGTTGCTCGATCATCGGCGGTGGAGCGGGTTGAATTGGGCGGTGTTTGGGTTGGATTCGAGGTTGCCTGGTATTGGTGCTAGGTTTCTTTGGGGGGGGGGGGGGGGGCCGATTTTTGCGTTGTCGTGTTCGGGTTCGATTCCGCGGAGGAATTAGGGTTGGTTTTGGAGATAGAGAGGGTGGTGGGTGCTGGTTTTGGCTGTTTCTAGGGTTTGGTGAATTCGTTTGCGTGGAGGATCACGGGGGAGATAGGCGTCAGTTAGTGGATAATGTGTATACTGTGTGTGATTCAGAAGTGGTCGCGCCGGGTTGCGACTATGCTGCCTTGGTTGGTGATTCCACTGATAGGTCTATGGGCTCTTTCTCAGCTGTTGCCGCCCGCTTTTCGTTTCGAGATTACGTCGCCGAGGCTGGCTTGCGTTTTCGTGCTGTTGGTCACCCTCTTTTGGTACGAGATTTTAATGCCCAAGCTGTCGGCTTGGCGGGCGCGTAGGAATGCCAAGCTTAGGGAGAGGAAAAAGAACGAAGCCATTGAGTTGCAGAAGCTTAGGAAGACTGCGACCCGGAGGTGTCGTAACTGTTTGACTCCGTATAAAGATCAAAATCCAGGTGGGGGTAAGTTTATGTGTTCTTATTGTGGACATATTTCGAAGAGACCGGTTCTGGACTTGCCTGTGCCGCCCGGCATGGGTATTTCAAACTCTGGGATTATTAAGGATTTGGTTGGAAAGGGTGGGAAGCTATTGAATGGGAGGGTGTGGTCTGACAGTGGATGGATGTGTGGTCAGGATTGGCTAGAAAATGGGAACTGGGCAGGTGGGTCTTTTGCAACAAAATCTGGTTCATGGAGGAGAACTGCAAATGGGGTTTTTGAGGGAGATGACCACTGTTTGGCAGAGAATTCGTATTCAGGAGTTGTTATTTTTTCCTGTAAGCTGCTGACATCTTTTTTCTTGAGCATTAGGTGGCTTTGGAGAAAGATTTTTAGAAGTAGTTCATTGGGGGAAGATGCAGCTTTGGATTCTGAGCATAGGGGTATGTTGGCTAAGAGGGATGGTGGGAATTCATATGAGAGCAGAAGTGAGAAGGCACGCAGAAAAGCTGAGGAGAAGAGGCAAGCCAGGTTGGAGAGGGAACTTTTGGAGGAGGAAGAGAGGAAACAGCGTGAGGAGGTCGCAAGGTTGGTTGAGGAGCGAAGGAAACTTAGGGACGAGAAAACTGAGGCTGAAAAGGATAGTGGAAAAGGATCATCACCCAACAAGGAAAGAGATAGGAGGAGGGAGGCAGAGAAAAAGCGTCAGGAAAGAAAGAAAGATAGAGACAGGGGCTCAAGTAAGAGCAACTCCGATGCAGAAGAACTGGAAAGAAGAGTCAGCAAGGAAAGTGAGAGAAAGCAGGACTCCGACAAGAAGAATTTACCTGATCGTCAACCTCAAAAATCTGCAACAGAAAGTGTAAAGGGTCAGGGTACTGATATGGGGCGTGGTTTAAAGGGTGTCTCTGCCAATAGTGCTAATAGGGGCAGCGCGGGAGCTAGATACCTGGACCGAATGAGGGGTACTTTCTTATCTTCTTCTAAAGCATTCAGTGGGGGTAGTTTCTTCGGAAGGGCTGCGAATACTCCTGCTGCAACTTCTAAAGAAAACACACCTATGGGTGCTGTAAATCATGTCCATACTTCTTATAAGAGAGATCATTGTCCACCTGAGCGAATAGGTGGCAAATCAGTTACGAATTTGGAAGACAAGAGCAGTAACTCTCCTGTAAGTTGTCTCTTCATATGCAGTTTTGTCCTGTCTTTGCTGTAACCATATATCCGTAGTCCTGAGCAAGTAATGGGCATGTGAACATACTTCTGAACTATTGTTGAGCAAACGATTTTTGTCTGCTATCCTTCTTTTGCAATTTTTTCAATTGCACATTACTTATATCCTTTGTTATACTGAATTTATCCTTGAGCAAAGAGCTGCTTTTATGAATTTACAGTTCATTTAGTGACATGATCTGCGGTGTCATGATGCTTGTGCAGTGTCTGTATGTATTGCTGAAATGTTGTTAGTAACATGTTTTGATGTTCACTGACAGGTACTCTCTGATACACAAACGGCATCTGCACCAAAGAAAACATGGCAACAATTATTTACTCGCTCATCATCTGTTCATCCTTCAGCCAATGCCAATGTTATAAGCAAACCGAGTCCCAAGTTCCAGGAAGAAGGTCAAAGCCCATTGGCACCTGGTCAGCCCTCAACAACTCAGTTATTTGATAATCCCCTCAACTTTGGGTTTCCATCACCATTTACTTCACCTGCTTATCAAAATGGGACACCCAGCAGTAGTTTAGGGTTTTCGCCTGCAATTGAACCCATCTATTCTCGAGCTGGAGAAGGATCTCATGAATTTATTACAGAAGAGACAGAGCTTTTTGAAGACCCATGTTATGTTCCTGACCCAGCGTCATTACTGGGGCCTGTTTCTGAATCACTTGATAATTTTCAGTTAGATCTGGGGTCTGGCTTTTTTACGGACTTGGGATCAGAAATGCCTCGTGTTAGAAAGAACGCCGTCACTGCTTCTGAAGTCACCAAGCCATCACCTATCGAGTCTCCAATGTCACGGTTACGAGGTATTGATGACAGGCATAACAATGCTAATCGTTTCGCTCGTACTCCGAAGGCCCCAGACACGAGCAATTTTTATGTGGGAGATGCAAGTACCGATGATAAGAGAACCTGGCAAATGTGGGATACTTCTCCTTTCGCTCAGGATGGTTTAAGTTTAATAGGTGCCCCGGCAAGCTGGCTTTTGAACCCTGAGCGGAACAGATCAACTAAGGAAGATAATCTTCGCTCTTTGTCACAGAATAGTTCAGTCTCACTCTTTTCAAAAGAGGATCCCGTCCTACCAGGTATTCACACTCCACAGAAAGATTTTCTTGGTTGCGGACGAAGTGGTGGAACTTTAAGCCCTTTGACGGGCTTAAATAATCAAGATCCATGGGTCCAGAGAGCTTTCATTCCCCCTCGGTCAGATGGTGAAAATCATCTTCCTCTTGCGTCTCAGGGAGAGTCTACTCCAAATCAAATGTATTTTGGAAGCCCTACTAGATCTGCTTTGACTCATCCGTTTGAGCAATCTCCAGCCAATTGTTGGTCCAAGTGAGTGCATGTAAATTCTTATATATGCCGGGAAGCATTCTTTCATTATATACAGAGTTAAGACAAATACGTTAACTTTGGTTATATGTTTTGCTGATAGTTAGGTTAGATAAAAAAGGGTGTTACTATCAGCTAGAGAAGTTTGTAAAAATGTATATGTCTTCGTACACTATTGACCGCAATTATATCTTTATTTGCATGGGCAGATAGTTGTGGCAACTTCTTGAATAGAGTGTAGTTTCCAGGACCTAACATTTGCCAGTGTCACCTGTACTTAAGTATTTTCACCTGCGTATTAGTCTCATTTGCATTCGGACTACCCTGTGATAATGTTGCAAGTGTTTTTCTTTTAACCAAACTTAAGTAAGTTGCCTACGGTAACTTTGCTAGCCACAGTCCATGTAAGTGGATAATTTTTCTCGACAGCTGCTTCCATTCATTCTGATCACGTTCTCGACAGCAGCATTATTAGAAAAGCAGCAACTTTTTTAGTTTTTCTTGTGAAATCTCCTTCCTTTTCTCTCTGCATTTTTATCCATTGCAGTAGAGAGATGCTTTCTTGCGATAGCTTCCCGTGACTTGGGGAGCCCCGGATTTACCTTGATATTTTACGGACTTTGTGTGCCCTATGTCCTTGGGTTTAGCCTATTTTAGCCCATAATTTGCTATTTAATTGCATGCATTGACTGAAAAGTAGCATGCTCTCAAAAGCCAAAAGGCCCAACACACTAGTAGGCCAAGTAGCTCCAAACAAACTGATTAGGAGATGTGACAATTAGGTTTTTTATATGGTTCTTTGGGGGATCAAAATCAGATTTCAACTTCAATCACTTTAGAGAATTAGCTGTTCAGTGTCATCTTGCTGAGAATGTTGGATTAGCAAGTTGAATGTAGTTATCTGACTCAGCTTTTGAGGATAAATTATCTGGAAGCATTGAGCACCTCCTTGTGTGTCTCCCTTCTTTATTCTGATTGTCAATAAGCTTCAAAAGAGGAAAATTTCCTTGTAAGTACAAGCAACCTCTGCAGAAGCTCTCAAAGGCAGTCAACTTTCTTTTGCTGCATCATTATTAGGTTAAGTTAGTTTTGCTATTTGACCAACAAAGTACCAGGGACTAATTGGGGGTTTAGGTCGGTCATTCATGGAGGATTTGTTTTCTTTCCAGAGATAAAATCATTTTTGGTTTTCTCTATCATTCGGTGATATTTGGAAAAGATAGATTTATGAGCTATTCCTGCTAGGTCTGAAATTGACAGTTGGTTCTCTATCTTTAATTACTTGAATTTGGGACATGGGATGAGGTACTCGTGGAAACTTTCATTATTTTCTTAAAATAGGTTTTTCCACTGTGCAGAATCGATGCTAGTTATTTTAGATTCCCCTTGTTGTACTTGTCTCATCCCCATCGGCCCTCTTGGGCGCATCTCTTTTCCATCGAAGAGAGAATTTTCTTATATTTAAATAATCCGTTTAATGGGGGAGGAGTTTATTTCTACAGGCTACGGCAATAAGCTGAAGATTTGTTTGTGAATAGGTTATATAGACTGATCTAGCTGAACTAGATATTTCCTTTATCTGCCATTGATAGATAGCAAATTATTCAGTTACCTTGATAAGAGATGATTCACCTGACCAACCGGATCAAGCTGAACCCCCTATAATGGAGAAGATGATCCTTGGATAATGGATCTTAGTAAGAAACTCGTTCATATCCTCGTGCATTTTTTGTCCTGGGTTGTTTCTCCATCCCGGTGTAGTAAAGTACGTAAATGGGAGTGAGGTAGGTCTTGCTGAAGAAGCAGATGATTATCTGATATGATTGCTTTTTTGGTTGATGATTTCGGTTCGGTATCTCATAACTGCTTTCACGTTACTGGCTTCATGTCAACCATTTCATCTATGGTTGATGGTGCTCCCAGCGACCATGGATACTGAGCCATCAGAGTAATAATATAGGAAATGTGCCTGCATTAAACTTGACGAACAGAACATCCAAGCTCCCTGCTGTTCTCATATCCTAAGTTACTTTTTTACATCTTTGGACTTTTTCGATGATCTTATGTTTGGTTTATTTACTTTTGCAGTAAGGAATGGGCTGCACAAGGATCAGGAGAAGGCATCAGGAATCCGTCAGTCTCTGGGTCCCATATCGGTGGGCTTTTCCCCTCAAACATGTATAGTCACCCTGGTGACTTGATTGAAAAGACAGAATGAACAGAATTTGAGGGATTTATATATGCCTGTTCTTACAGAGGCAAGCAGCCTCCTTTTTTGGGGAGAGTTCAGATATTGGACGCATTGTAATCTTCCTTTTCTTTACGAGGGGGATTGATATATACTTAGATTAACATCAAATAGCAATACAGGTCAAAATGCATGCACTTGCCCCTCAGGCAACAATGATTTAGCTCATCGCTACACCGCCAGTGACTTCTCCGTCTTCCACGAGGAAGAATTTCGTTCTGTTCACCCAGTCCTATGATTTATTTAACATATCCTGGCACTATGGCACTCTCGACCGGTGGGCCAGGTACTGTCTTGAGCATGTGGTCAGTCCCTAACTATTTGCTTCGTGACCTATGGCTATAGCGAGTGGTTATCAACCGTAAGAAATTGCCGTCGAATCTTGTGTTGTTATTTTTTTCAGCTTGAGTATTGCTCGTGGGGGGATGTTTGAAGACCTATTGTCATGTAGTTTGAGATATATTTGGTGGTTCCACCGTAAGGCATGTTTTTTGGTGCTTCAGGAGACCGAAGATAATAGAGAAGTCGATTTTGCCGTGAAGCAATTTCAGTGAATTGAGTATGTCCGGATGAGTTCTCAAGTAGGTCCAGTATGCGAAAGATAAATGGGACAGCTATGGCTTATGCCTAAAAGGTTGTTTGGACGACACTGATTCTTGATAGTTCGTCTGCCAATTTCTCCTGCACTTGCACCACACCCTAAACTCAACAGCATGAGAACTACTTTGGCAATAGGGTCGTCCTGCACCAGGGGTTCACTTGAGAGACATGAAGAGAGAACTGTTTTCGAGTTTTGAAGGAGAAGATGAGAGGTGGGGAGAGGCGTTTTTCGCAAAGCATCGACACTGCCTGTGTTTTCGCATATTGCTGTCATTTGCATTTTGCATGGCAAGTAGATTTTAGTCATGCCAAGTAAATACAGAAACAAGACAGGAACTCAGTTGTCCTAAAGGCAAAAAGAGCAAATAATCCTTGCCAATTGCACTCGTGTTCGCCTAACACGACTCTGTAGCGCCCTACTACTAATTTCGTATATGCCCACATGATGGTTAAATTGCGCAAATTGAAAGGGTCAATGACACAAATCACAACGCTCAGTGGTATCGTTTCGGAAGGGGAATGTGTCATTGCCCTCTTTTTTGCCATTTTTCTATATTTTAAAGTAAAAATTCTCTCTTTTTATTCGCACTGTAGGGGGAAATGGTACTTCGGAAGAGATTTTGCTATTGGACCGGATGCAGCAGACAGAACTTGGAGCTCAACAAAAACGAATTCAGCCATCAGCCATGACAAAAGAATAAGGGGATTAGGGAACACCAAACTGACCACTATATATATATATATACATACATCGCAACAATGGCTAAGCAGAATCTAAGTAGTTTGATCGACGTTCTCTTGTCCGACAGACACAACTATTGTATGACAAACATAGTAAGTAAACATAAGTAGGACGTCGATGATGCTAGGTGTAACTGCAGCACTAGTGATCGCAGCAACGATTCACCAACACTTCCAGACAACACATTTCTATGTCTATATGATATATATCGGTCATAAAAGGGTTTCGTTTCCAGCTCTACCAGGTCACGTGTAAAGACACTAATGTAGGGTTGTAGGGTTGTGATCTACATATATGAACTATGCATTCCGCATGACGAAGCTTCAAGAGTCGGATAGCAATGGCATCTCCCTGGTGGGTACTGATTCTTCACATTTGCTTTCGGATGCAGTGCACACATGCAACACAGTGCATACATCAGCTGCCTCCAGAAATTGTTCTATGTTGGCAAGAATAAGTGGCCCGTACTCAAAGACCATCTTCTTACACTGCAAAAAGTGAACAGTAAATCTATATTAAGGTGCTGCTGCCTCAGAGAAAGGGAGAGAGAACTAAGATACAAGCGCTTTGATGCAAGAGTAAATCTTTCATGTTTTTGACTTGAATTAGACAGCTTCCAACGCAACTAACTCAATTCTTGACGTTCAAGAAACTCCTTCTAGGAAGAGTTGTTGAAAAGCCAATCCATATTAGCATAGATTAAAAGAAACAAACGAGGGTGAGGGAAATATGTTGTTCTTATCCAACATTTTCATACATAAATGTGTGAGTGCACATTCGCATGTGATAAAAAGAAGATTTACCTTGTTCTCGTAGCTCTCAAGGGAATCACAAGCCTTCAGGAGTAGCTCAATTATGTCCATCTGAGGTCAATATGAGACCCATATTAGTTATCATTTCAGTGGCAAGGTTCGTGGAGTGTAAAAAGGAGGATAGTTTTTATCTTGTTTCTTTGTGCCTGAAGGTGGCTAAGCGAAAGATGTAGTCCCTCACCAGGGATAAGTTCAAGAACACAATGGCTTTCTGCTGTCGAGTGTTGCTCAAAACATACAAACTACCATAATGCAAGAAGAACCAACCTGAGTGTCAGGGTCTTTCAACCTATCCAAGATTTGCGAAACAGTATCATGGCAAAATTCACAGCTGTCTTCCTTAAGCTTTGGAGAAACTCTCACCACTGATTTGCAGAGACTGATATCCTTGCAGAACTCTCCAGGTTGGATTGAAGAAACCTCTAAGAATAACAAGGGAACAAAATAATCCACCAGAGTAATGCACTGCAGATGAAAATGACAATCATATAGAAATCATGATGCCGTAGAAGCCTTTAAAGCAATGGAGAGAGAGAGAGAGAGAGAGAGAGAGAGAGAGAGAGAGAGAGAGAGAGAGAGAGACCTCTGTCTTGAAAATCGAAGCTTGGGAGCAGGTCAAGTGAAGAAGTTCAATCACTTCAGATTGAGTTTTATTCTTTTCCAGATACTTGAGTGCCAATTCGGCGTACTCCTCGCACAATGTGCACACTTCTCCATTCCTTGAACTTCCCTTTTCCAGCATGTGGTACTGCATAGCTGAACCCAAAATGTAAAAGCATCATTCAGTTGCTAATGTATCAACATGTGAGACATCTACTACGAAACTTAGTGCAAAAATACCCTTGGACATATTTGCCATGAAACTTGTCATACAATGCAAGAATGTTAAACAATGACTTGGCATCAGTCGCATAGATTTTACGATTGCTTCCTTGTCAGCTGACACAAACAAATGTTTATCAATATACAAATTGCACCAGGTATTACATTATAGCTCGTTCAAATCCGTAAGAGGACAATATGCATCCACCCTGTCATCGGTAGCTGGTGTGATCAACATGACTCAGTAATCCACATGTAACACCTGTTTTTATTATGTCATCTCATAACAAGTTGTGTCATTATTTCTAGAATTTTATCAGCCCACGACATGCCAATAACACCTTGATATAGTTTCAGTCAAAGACAGAAAATGATATTATGATGATAACATCAGATAGAGGTAATTGTTCATTACAAGCATTTCCTGAAACTCCTTGCTCATGATTTGTGAAATAATTATAGTGAATGCATGGTCAAATACATTTTAGCAAACTTGTTTGAAAGGCAATTTTTTGTTAGATATTTCTAAAACTAAGCTTTCCCTTTTGACAATGTTCATTACTTGTAAGAATTGTTACTAGCACTTGAAATCAGATACCTGAAGGCCACATAGTAAGGGAGGTAGAATGCTTGCCAACGCTAGTGTAAAGAAAAACATTTTAAACATCCATGAAGAAAACCTTTAAACATTGAGTAACGCTCTTATCGTGGACAATCAAACAAGTTTTTCACTGTTCTTCAGTGCAGGGGAGCAGATATTTCTATCACTAGCGGGGAAGATCCAGAAACCAAGCAAAAAGAAATGAAGGTAAATCAAAAGCAAACTCAATGAGTACCTTCAAGATTGCGTGGCAGTTGCCTAGTATCGAGGGTCGCAAGAGCACTCAGAACAAGAAGAAACAGGAATCCTATCTTCACACCCATGATACCTGAGACATAACATCAATCCTACAGATTTAAGTATCCATATCCAACGTATGCTGACAGAAATCCTTGCCTTAATCAAATAACGACACGTCGAGAAAGCATATCATATATGCAAAACAACATGAGGAGCAGAATTCAAGCCTGCACGTGAATTCTACAGCCAATTGAACTTCGAAACCAGGGTTGGCAACCTCAACCCTGCTATTCTACCAGCACGTATGTTGCACCTTTTCTTGGATAGGAGCGACACGGGTACGCGCTCAACCATCAAGCTGATCACCTCTATGACACCTTGTTCTTGGGTGCATGTGATATCAATTGGTGATAACACAGCCACAGATAATCGAATCCCATTCCGCCACATATACCCCAGTACCTCGGAGATTCCAAAACTACCAACTCGACTCCAGAGGAAAAGCCGCTAAAACACTTAACACACTATAAAAAGCTGCCTAATTGCAGCTGCTCATGGACAACACTAAGGTGAGGACTGAGGCATTTGAATTCACCATCATGGGCATTAGCATGTTCAGAGGATAGCTACTGGGTGTTGAGTTCCAGGTTGACAATAAGAATGAAAGATCATGCACTGCTTAAATTAGACATGAGGCAACATAAAGACCTCAAAGAACATTCTGTTGCGCGAAGGAACAGTAAACTAGTCGTCGGCGACGAGAGAGAGAGAGAGTACCTTCGGCGACGAGAGGTGGTCAGCGATTAAGGGGAATGGATCATAAAGAAAGCCAAAGTCAAAGCCAATCAACCGTCTGTTCTGCACCATTTTTTTATCAAACTTCTTCGTTTCGTCCTTCTGGGCAATTCTGGGTCGGGGTTGGACTGTCGGATTGAGCAAGAACGAGGAAGAGTAGTTGAAAGTCGGTTGGGGGTTTGCCGCTTTTCGAATATTCCCCAACCACCCTTTTGAGCTTCGACTCTTTCGGAGATTTCTACGTTGTAATTTGTCTCAATTTGTCTATAAGTTTGAAGGTATCGTGATCCTACCCTGCTACGTAGCTCATGATCTGAATCTAAACCTGGATTCCTCAAAGCTGAAAATGGACTCAGTACTGTCAATTGAAGTCTTAGTATGGATTATGAATGAAGCCGGACGTAACGCGAACGGTGAATCTCACCGTAATTTTCACGTTAAGTGTCGCGAATATCTTTAGTCGGCATGATTACTCACATAAATGGCGCGGATATCACTGACTATTGAAGTCTTGGAAAGTCTGGGATTGCCTATATTCAACGTGAAACTCGCCAAAATGAAGTCGAGGTACAGAATTATCAAGATGAAATTAGAGGATCAACAAGAATTTATTAGAGGATATTCCTGTAGAAATAAAAAAAATAGATACCTTATAGTGTTTCGTACGGATCTACTTGCCCCGATAAAAGTAGACAAAAATAATGAGAATAAGAAATTGTGGGCGGTTCCATGTTACAAAGCTACACCAACCGGTTCCGTCATAAGTTTTTATATTCACGATATCTTGTTCTTTTTTTTTTTATATCAATTAAGCTTATCTCAGTTATATTAATTAATGGATTAGTACTTATCCCTCTCAATTAATTATTACGTATCTTCTACAAGCATGAATAAACCAGAACCTGATGAGAGAGACTCAAGTAACATATATCTGCTTTTAGCAAAAAAAGAGTAACATATATCTGCAGTTGCTGTCAAATATATGTATAATCCATTATGGGGAAAAACAAGAGTTTTATATAAGCCACGAAATCAAGCTTAATAGATGGAAAATGATAGAACCTAAACTTGATTTGGAAATAGTAAGGCAAACTTGATGCCAAAGGGAAAAAGAAGAGGACCAGTTCGATGTTTTCGTTTTGGGGACCAAAGTTAAAAGGGCCCAGTTCGGTCGATTAATTACGTTGGCTCTTCTATGTCTCCAACCCGAGACTGAGAGTCGATGCCAAGTTATCTTGCTGCGCCAAACTTCACATTGGATCTCGGATTGATGCGATGCTATTCGATGCATATTTCAAGGCATTGATCACAATAGATGATACTGTCCTTTGATTAGATACATGATTACAGCTGACAGGTTATGCCATACGAGCCTATACACAAATAGAGCACCAAGAAGTGCCACTGTTCGTCTTTAAGTACTGCATGCTACATACATGAACACAAAACTTCTCCTACGAGAACGGCCACCATCAATGAACTTACATCCGCATGCAGTGACATCACTACTAGTGCCGGCCTCTTTGAGACGTCCAATGCCTATATGCTTCTACAACAATGTGCATAGAAGAAAATTATGGGTCCAACAATAAACAGGTCATCAGGCAGCAGCAAGGAAAAGCAGCTAAAAGCCTGATGTCTGATAAAAACCTAAGGTTTTTGACCAGATTTGGTGACTTCGTGTATTGCATTTGCCAAATAGTCCATGTTTCTCATTGTAACTCCCGCCAAGCTGCTCAAACAAGGTCCAACATAACTCATTAAACAATTGCGAGAAACACAACACATAATAAAGGACTGTGAAAAGGCGAAGCCAGTCAATCAGCAGGCATGCAGATTGCAGCTTAAGCTATTTAAATGCCAACGATGATTTCATTTCAGGAAAGCTGTGCTCCACTGATGAGATGCAGACTCATATAGCCGCAAAAGGAAAATTCAACTCTCTTTCGGTCAATAAAAGACAATTTTCAACTTACTCTGCCATTTGTGAAGGCAGGCTTTAAGAGAAGATGAACAAAGAAATCTTAAAGATTGCACAGATCTTTCGGGAAACATAGAAAGTGCTACATGAACTGACTCAGTGAATATTTCCTCTTTGGGGGACAAATAAATTAGTTCTTCATATACAAAATTAGAAAACAAGCACTCCTGGGCTATTAGGAGGCGGCTATCTCAAATCCAGACTAGAGGCAAGGAAGTACCTGATACGGCCATCAGCAGTCATGTATATGTGGAACTCCCTCTGTAGCCGCTCTATCTGTAGCGTAGTTATACCAGAAAAGCAAAACATGCCAACCTGGTTTGTTATATGTTCCCAATTGAGAGGAGATCCCAATTTCTCGAGGCTTTCTCGTAGAGCTTCCCGAATTTTACAAATGCGATTTGCCATTGCCTTGCAAAATACAGGCCAAGATAAGAGACTTCACAACAACTCTTGTCTAACAATACGGCAATAAAACGAAATGTGAAAACTGATGAATCAGAAAATGATTGCAGAAGAAGAATAGGAAACTACCCTCAACTCCTCAACCCAAAGTGCCTTAGTGTCTGGATCTCCTAAGATTGTCGAGACCAGCAATACACCATGAATAGGAGGACTGCCATACATTGCCCGTGCAATCTGCCGCAGTTGGCTTTTCACTGCAACTGCTTGCATTGTGTTGGAGCAAAGAAGGCTGAAAATGTTAAAGAGGAAAAGAAAGATGAAGAACCATATAGATTGGTATTGCAGCAATGGCTAGATATTGCCTATCTGCATCACCTCATCCCACCATTAGAACAGCAGGTGGATGTGCATTGCATGAGGATTTTTGTCAAAATAAATTTAGTTGTTATAAACACAATAGTCTTCTTATAATGCTGGTTGCTAATGTTCTACTTTTCCCTAAACTCTCCCTGCCTCATAGCTTTGCAAGGACTTGCTGGGCCACGAAAGATCTCTTTCACGTATAAATCTGTCATTTTTATTCCCAAAGCACTGCAGGAGAGAACCCTACTTAAGAGTGCAAGATATATCTGTACCTGAGACAACCAACTCGGTGTCCATAAAGTCCCATGTTCTTCGCAAAGGATTGAGCACAACCAATTAAATGTCCATCTTGAAGAAAAGTACGGATTGCTTGTGCATCCCTGTCTAGATCGCCGCTAGAAAAACCTTGATAAGCCATGTCAAAGAATGGGAAATGATTCTTCACCTGACAACGATTGATGTTTACAGTCAGTTTAAGAATCGCGGGATCCTCGCATAGCCATGATGGTACATAGGTCGCAGTTACCTTTAAGTGATATGATATTTCTCTCCACTCTTCCTCGGTTGGATCAACACTGGTTGGATTATGAGCACAAGGATGGAGTAAGAAAAAGGAACCTTCTGGGGCATTCTAGTGGTAGAAAAACAAAATCAGAAACTAATAGCACCATAGAAGTTGCACGGGGTACAAAATGTACGGGTAGTTATAGTCAAAGCAGGAAATTTATGAGGCGGTAATATAAAGCGCCTCTTTGTAACTTAATCATTATATCATGGGGGTGTATGAGACGTTAATATTATTATCATCAAAAGAGTACAGGTTCATCAAAAGAATACAATTCTTACCTTGATATCATCTATGAGTGCTGGAAAATTCAGGCCCTTCGAATTAGGGTCGTAGTAAGAGAAGGTGCTCTGAGGAACTTCAGCATCCTTCCAAATACTATGGTGGCTGTTTTGAATGTCAAAAACAATTAGGGGTAGTCAAGAGAATGACAAGGCCAGTGATCAGTTGTATCAAGAATGCACAAAAGTTTAAAAGTCATAAACCACCCTCACTTCGACCAAGTTGGGTCAGGGAAATAAACTTTTGAACTCGGATAAAAGCGCCTTTGAAACTCTGCAAAGAGGCGACAAGCGCCAGTTCCTGAGAGCGTTTGAACGCCAGCTAATCTTCCTTCTCCTATGACTTTTGTGTCTTTTCCATAGACCAATTTCATGCTCTCCTCAACCAGTCTAGACTTAGCCGAAGCAGAAATCGACTCCCTGACAAGGATCTCAAATCATGAGATGCAAGTATTCAGGATTAAGACATAAAGCTGCATGAATAAAATTAAGTTTCACCTTTCTGGTCAGCTAGATAAACAACATTCCCCATCACAATCAATATGAGAAAAAATCTCATCCCAAATGCCAATGGTAGTGTCTCTGTAAACAGGTGCCAACTTCATCTAGCAATCCATCAGCGCAAATTCGAGTCGAAGATATCAATCCGCTGCTACTCTCAACAAGACCTATGGCACCTCTGTTTACTATGTAATCTTCCCAGCTTAGCCAGGTATACCTCATGTTGTTACAACGGTTTACCTTCTTCTCATAAAGCTGCTTAATATGCAATTTACAGTCTTCTACCCCAAAGTTCCTAGTGACGATACATAAATCCCCCAGCCAGTGGTTTTAAAACAATTTCATAACACATTAGACCAAAATATATCAGCTCACTAAGGAAATGTTATAATAACTGCTACTGAAGTACTGGATATTCAATACAATGACCATAATTTCTAAAGCGGAAACAGAAGCACGTCTTTTGATCAATCAATTCATTCCCTCTGTAGCTTTTTTTCCCACAACTCAAACATCTAATACCTTTCTTATCACTTCACAGTTAACTGAATCAAGAACAAGAAACAAAGCGGGGACAATTGCCGAAAGAAGGGATAAACGGAGAACTCACAGGAATTCGCTACCCGCAACTTTAGCCTCCGCGTTCCTCACGCACCGAAGCACAACAGGCTTGCCTTCTTCATCCCTGTAAGCACCCTGCATTCCCCAACACAACCGCCCGTCAAAACGCACGCGCTCACCGAATCACATCGCAGTCAAGCAATCATTTTCACGACCGAGCCGAAAAGAAGACAGCAAATTTGGAGGTGGGGTGGGTGGAATCGCCGGCGTACCACTCCGAGATTGATCTTGTTCGGGCTAGCGTCGGCGAGGAAGGCCTCGCTGACGCTGGTGATGGGGTCCTCGGGGGCCGGCCTCACGCGGTCCCACCACTGACGATGGGTCGACACCCGTCTCCTGGCTACCGTGTCCACGATGGCTGCTCTCGACATGCTGCTGCCGCTCCTCCTCCGCCGCGTTCCGACGCTCTAGCACCGCGAGGCTCGACGGTGGCGATGTTGAAGCCGCTTCGATGGGTGGCGGTGTGGTGAAGAAGTCGTGAGCTTTACAGCGCGGGTGTGGGGAGTATAAATGCAGGGGACGAAGCGTCAGGGACGGCCCTTCCATGAGGCGCCGGAGCTTTCGCCTTCTCCTTCTTCTTCTCCTTCTTCTTCCTCCTGTTTTGCGGGGTTGCAGTTCCAATGGGCTGCTCTGCTGACTCGTGGTTTTCTCGGAAGCTCCTTGGAAAAAACGGGAGACGGCGACTTTATTCCGCATCGCATGGTCTTGGTCGGCCCACCTAAGCCATGGTCCCCCCTCCGCTCGTTGATCGCCACGTGTCCGGTGGGCCCACGTTTCGGCCTCGACGATTTCCCCGTCTTTCTTTCGGATTTATTTTGAACTTTTAATTTGTTCAACGTGATCCCTAAACTTTTGATAAATGTTTAATTTAATTCTTATTAATTCAAATTCAGGGATAACATCGAATATTTTCATAAAGTGCAAGGGAGTAAATTGAAAATGTACCAAAAGTCCATGGATCATATTTAACAAATTAAAAGTTTAGGGACCACGTAACATATTGGTATAAAGTTCAGGGACCACATATATATTAGACTGAAGTTCAGAGGTCATTTGTGTTATTTTCTCTATTTTCTTTCATCCTCCTCTCTTCGCGGGAGCCTCCTCCAACGCACAATCGCAACCGCGCATGGCATCACGTGTCGCCGGCCATGACAGCGGGCAGGGGTCGTACTTAAATCGAATTTGGCAAATTTGACAAAAATAAATTCATATAATCTGAGGCACCCTCATGCATGCAAAAGCTACTTTTAGCAACGTGACGTGACATCGGATAGAAAAAAAAAAAGTTTTCGTTCGTATAGCACACAACATGACATACTTAATTCGTATATCACTTTCGTTGTTGCATGTTCATTAATCTTTTTTTGCTGAACGTTAGATTAAATTTTCATGGAGTACGAATTAACATGAACTATGTTTATGATGAAGATGCGCGTGGCACAAATCCTCTGTCCAAACGTCCTAAATACCACGATTAGATAAAAGCAATAAGTCTTAGGATTTGATTACAAGTAAATATTTATGTCACAAATTTTGGAGCAACTTCAATTCAATCTTATAATACTCTAGAGATTGAACCCAATTATTTTCTAAATGATAAGTATTATTAGTAGTTTCTAAACCAAATAATTACTTATTGAGAGACACTCATTTATATGATCCTTATAAGGCTACTTCTACCCTGCCATGGCATTGAGGTCCAGTCCAAATTTATCCCTAGATTGTTTTTGTCCCGAAAAAACTCTCAACTTTAAATTCAGTTTCAAATTTGTCCCGTACTTTTTTTTTTGTCTAAAAAGATTCATCAACTTTAATTTTGTCCCAAATCTGCCCCTGTTAGCCTTTTGGCCAAAAATCGTCATTAGTTGTCCCTAATTTCCCTAACTTTCATATCAAGGAACGGTTTCGTTTTGTAGATATTTTATATGTCAACTTGCTGATGTAGATTTTTTACTAACGTGGAAATGCCATATCAAACAACTAATGGCGATTTGGATTGAGGGTTAGCATGGACAGATTTGATATTAGATTGAAAGTTGGATATTTCTTTTAGATAAAAAAAAAAGTTCGGACCAAATGAGACTATAGTTAAAGTCGATGATTTTTTTTAGATAAAGTAAAATTTGGGGTAGATTTGAGACTGGATTTAAAGTTGAGATTTTTTTTAGAAAAAAAAAAGTTCGGATAGAATTTGGAATAGACCTAAAGTTGAGTATTTTTTAGGTAATCTTTTTGGTCTGGGAATTCTTTGGGGAATTGGGCCATCATACTTATCCACCAACAAGAACTTTTTGCATCGGGTTAAAGATAGTCGGGTCATGTTAACTCTTATATTAAGAGAAGTTCCTGCTCTCTTGAGCCTAGCTTGAAATAATAGATCGAGCATAGAAGTGCCAAAACTTGATCAATCGAGTCTATTGCAATTCATTTCGACAATACACTCATTTGATCGGCCTCACACCAAGATTAGCTCCTTTCTAAGTTACCGCCCCGTAATTAATTGAATGGATAGTCACGTGACAATAAGAAAATATAAGAGATATCTTTGCCGTTGGCAATGCGTATGAGACCCTTGCTTATGAATAATCATAAGGTAAATTGTTTGCTAACATAGGAATTGATAATTAGATTCCTCGCTACATCGTATTCAATTGATAAGCCCAAGTTTCTTTCAACAGAGAATGTAATCCATTATACGATATAGATGCTACAGAATCTTACAACATCGTCAAATTATCATCACGCCCAGTGAAATTGACTAGAAACACACACCCAACTGTTTAACAAAGAATTACAAGACACTTAATTCTCAATAAGATGTTCTGAAAATAAGAAGTAAAAATGGGAAAACATTATGAAAAGAACAAAAATCGCCAGGATTGAAATCGATCGACTATTCTGCAATCCGTCCTGATCTGACTGGTAGACCTAGTGAGGGGGCTAAGGGCTCCCATCATGACCATGGCATTGGCAAAATCATTTGTGATCGAACCCAAGTTCTTGCTATAGCCTGTCACTTGAGGATTCGTCGAGCCCCACTGAACAACTGCTGGTCCGAATGAAGCAGGACCTTTTAGCTCACCAAGTTGTTGAAGTAGGTGTTGTCGAAGGACCGTCAGGCTCGAGATGTCAAAGGGGAAGAGGTTGTTGTTGCCTCCCAAGCTGGGGCAATTGGCCTTTAAAGATGTGGCAAATAAAGAGCTTATGTCATTCCCATTGTAGAGCCGGGTCCAGAATGTCATGCACCTGGCCTGGCCTACGATGTGGGATCTTGAAAGTGCCACCATTTCTTTCGCAGTGAAGCCTTTGTTAGAGGAAAAGTGATAAGGGCACTGAGATAAAGAGTTGGAGCTAGGAGGTTGGTATTAGCAGCGTTCAGACTCGACGTGGTTGAATCTCTTTTCCTAGTTGAACTTGCCAACTCGGTCCACTCAACTAAACATTAAATTAATTGAATCCACATAAGTTTAGGAAAATAATAGTTTCCTTTAGAGATAATTAAGGATTTCATTTGATTATTTTGTTGATTATCGTATCTCTCAAGATTGTACATATATTACACGTATGTTGCACGTGCAATATACGTGTAATATGAGGGCACTGAGAAAGAAGTGATGATGGCAATCATGGTTAGACGGAGCAAGGACGCTCCCATGCGAGACTCGTTGGCCACTGCCGATTTCACGGTGGATCCATTGGTCTCGAGTGCTCTCGGGCACCTTCACGCAATTCATTTCGACAATATGTTGCGCTAATTCACCTCACGTAACCGGTACGTACGTTGCACGAAGTGAGAAGCAAAACAAGTGCAGCAAAATAAAGAGGAGATCACAAATTTACGTGGTTCGACAGATAAGTCTGTCTACATCCACGGGGCAAGCACACGGAACTCACTTGTATAACAGGAGAAATTACAACGCACACCCCTCAACCCGACAAACACCAAACAGTGGGTCGCACTCTCAACCGTGAATCTTTTCTCAGTACAACTCTCACAATCACAGAGATACTGCACACCCAAGATTCCCTTACAAGAGATAACCCAGACCCCCAAGTTCTATTTCACCCAGAACGTAGAGAAAAAACAGAGGAATAACCCAAAGCACATTAACTCTTAACTGTTTCCTCCTGTCTCTCTCTCCTTCACACGTTCCCAAAGAAGTAGAGGGGTGGTTGTACGCACTAAAGTAGTGGAGGAGTGGCATCGACAGTTACTCCCTATTTTTTAGGTGTCACATTCTCCCACTTGAAGACTATTCTCGAATAGGCTTCACAGCTCCGATTTGCCCAACCATCACCAATCAAGTGATAACTACAAGCCCAAGAGAAGTTCTGCACCATAAAAACTTCTCTCTCGCAATAGGCTTCCAAGACATCCGATACGTTGTCGTTGGTGTGAATTTTCTGCAAAGAGATAACTCCATCTTCCACTACATCACGAATAAAATGGTACCTGACATCAATGTGTTTCGTACGAGAGTGAAACATTGGATTAACGGCCAAATGTAATGCACTCTGACTATCACAATGAATAGTGATGACTTTCTGTTTGATTCTTAGCTCGTCAAGCAATCTCTTCAACCAAATGCCTTCTTTACAAGCATCTGTTGCTGCGATGTATTCAGCCTCTGTAGTAGATAATGCCACCACAGATTGTAACTTAGACATCCAACTAATTGCTCCACTAGCTAAAGAGAAACAAGATCCAGTGGTAGATCTTCGTCTATCACGATCTCGCAAAATCTGCATCCACAAATCCAACCAACTGTAAATTTTGGCTACTATAATGAATAGCCATATCAGAGGTACCCTTCAAGTACCGAAGGATCCATTTCACCACAGTCCAATGATCTCGACCCGGGTTTGCCATGTACTTGCCGATCGCTCCCATCGCTTGCGCAATGTCCGTCCGGTGCGCACCATGGCAAACATAAGACTCCCTACCGCCGATGCATACGGTACTCGAGCCATCTCTGTCTTCTCTGCTTCTGTGCTAGGACTCTGTTCAGAAGACAGTTTACAACCAATAAGAAGTGGGGTATTAACTGGTTTGGCGTTCTGCATATTGAAGCGCCGCAGAACCTTTTCCACATAGCTCTTTTGAGTTATCCAGATCTTCCTATTTTCACGATCTCTGAGTACGGTCATCCCAAGAATTCGGTTTACGGCTCCCAGATCTTTCATATCGAATTCCCTAGCCAAACGAGCTTTGAGGTATGCAATACCTTCTTTCGAAGTACCCGCAACTATCATGTCGTCAACATACAACAACAAGATTATAAAGCCACCATTACCATGATTGCGAACATAGGCACAATGGTCTGCTTCACATCTTTTGAACCCCAAACTCATAATGAAAGAATCAAATCGCTTGTACCAGCATCTTGGCGCCTGCTTCAAGCCATAAAGCGATTTGTTCAGTCGACAAACCAAACTCTTCTTGTTCTCTTCAATAAAGCCTTCAGGTTGAGTCATAAAAATTTCTTCATCAAGATTTCCATGCAAAAAGGCTGTTTTTACATCCAACTGCTCAAGCTCTAAGTCAAGCACAGCTGCCACACTCAACACAGTACGAATAGTAGTTA